AGCACATGAAAAGATGTTGAACATTATTAGTTATCAGGGACATTCAAATTAAAACCACAATGAGATATTGCTACCTACCTATCCAAAATAACTAAGAAAAAAACAAATAAATAAATAAATAATGACAACACCAAATACTTATGAGGATGTGAAGAAACCAGATCATTCATACATTGCTGATGGGAATGTAAAATGATACAGCCACTCTGAAAAATAGTTTGGCAGTTTCTTACAAAACTAAATGTACAATTACCGTATGACCCAATGATTGTACTCTTGGGAGTTTATCCCAGGGAAATGAAAACTTATGTTGATACCAAAAAATGTTCATAACAACTTTATTTATAATAGCAAAAGTAGAATTTTGCTACTATAATGTCCTTCCACAGATGAATGGTTAAACAAATTGTGTTACAATACATACCAAGGAATACTACTAAGTAATAAAAATAAACAAACTTGATATACAAAACAATCTAGATGAATCTCCAGGGAACAATATCAAATAAAAATAGCCAATACCAAAGGATAAGGTCACATACTGTATGATTCCATTTATGAAACATTTTTGAGATGTGAAAACGTTAGAAATGGAGGGCATATTAATGGTTTCCAGGGATTAGGGATGGCATGAGAGCTATTCCTGAAGGCAGCGGGTGTGGTTACAAAAGAGCAACACAAGGGATCTTATGATATTGGCACTGTTTGGTGTCTTGACTGTTGGGGTAGATACATAAACCTGCACCAGTGACCAAATTGTATAGAACTTAATCACACACATATGTCCACACACATGCATGCAAAGAAGTACAGGAATATGTGATTAAGATCTGTGGATTGGATCAATGTCAATATCCTGCTTGTGATATTATATTATAGTTTTGTAAAATGTTGCCAGTGGAAGAAACTGAGTAATGTGTATGAGTTCTCTGTATTATTGCTTACAATTGTGTGCAAAGCTACAATTACCTCAATAAAATTTTCAATTAAAAATGTACCACCATTATTTCAGCAGTTAGGTTGTACAAATTTGAGACAAATAGGTAAGAGATAGAAAAAAGG